ACGTACCGGTTCAATGTACCGCGCTTCTCTCTTTCTGACCCCTAGTCACTCGCCACATCTTTAAGGCACAATCGAGCTTTACTCGGGCCACTACCGATAATTAATCGCGATTTCAGGCTCCCGGTTTCTGTCTCCTCCGCATTACGGTTTCAACGTGATGTCACGATTGTTTTTACAAGTTCAATTAACATTCGTCAAGTTCACGACGATAAGGACCATCTCACCGTGAATGGTTCCCTTTTATCTCTTCTCCCCGTATTCTCTTCCTTTTTATTTGCCCTTTCCTTCTCTTGAACCGCTCCCACCCACATTTCTCGTTCCTTCCCTGTTTATTCTCTGGTTCTTTTAGCGAACGCGTGCGATTTCGACTCGCCATAAATTCAAGAGGTTGGTAAGGTTTCCGCGGCGCTTTCTTCGTTTTTCACCTTTTGTACCTTTTGTACCTTTTGTGTGTGGCGTTTTTCGAATGGATAGCACACCTATCCATGGTGCTGAGAGTCGAGAAGAGAGGCTGAAAGGTAAGGAGGAGGGGCAGGTGTTGGGAGGACGAAGAAGAAGAAGAAGAAGAAGAAGAAGAGGAGGATGAAAGAGAAGAGTAAGGGAGAATCCAAGGGAATTGCTTGAGGGGTGCGAGTAGTTCGCCGCATGGAGACGAACGTCGGCTTCGCCACCCACAAAGCAATTTCTTAAGGTGGTCTTATGGTATAGATCGTAGATCCTAGAGGTCTCCCGAAGGTCCTAGAGGTCCTAGAGGTCCTACGAGTCCTAGGAATCCTGATGTGCCTTGCAGGCTACGTTACCGCTCAAGTATGCACCGACACATATATATGTACATAGAGGCGAAGCCCCATTGTGTGTGTGTGTGAATACGTTATGGCTGAAGTCAGCTGTGAAGCTTTATTATGTAGAAGAGACGAAAGAAAGGGAGGATAAAAGAAAAGAAGAAACGTGAAAGATTCTTTGAGAGAAGAGAGCGCCTGAGAAACCGACAATGCAGCCGTAAATACAGGCACATTGGCAGCTGAGAATGGCTGGAGCTACTGGCTGGTGGGTCCTCTCAAAATGGTAGCCAGTAGCCCCTCCAGTCGTTACGAGCACTCTCGGCGCGTCCTTCAGCAAATTAAAGTGTCCCACGAGAAAAGAGTCCGCCGCACAAGCAACTCACACGAGAGAAGAAAAATGTTGCCCGAGGTTGGTGTGTAAATTTCGAGAAATATTCCCACATCCAGAGACATTTGGGCAAGACTCGCGCGTTGCCGTAGACGGGGCATCCGCAAAGCTATGTCCGAGGGGCAAACGGCACCCGCGGGCAGTTTAAAACCACCATCCCTTTGCGGACCTCCTCGAGCTCGTATACCACGTGCCCGACTCACTGCCGGACGACTGGACGATTCTTTCTGTTTCATTTTTTTTTTTTTTTTTTTTTTTTTTTTTTTTTTTTTTTTGTTTTTTTTTTT